TTCCTCATAACACCACAGTTAACCCTTCCTCATAACACCACAGTTAACCCTTCCTCATAACACCACAGTTAACCCTTCCTCATAACACCACAGTTAACCCTTCCTCATAACACCACAGTTAACCCTTCCTCATAACACCACAGTTAACCCTTCCTCATAAGACAGTTTCTTTCACTTCTTCAACATCTGAGGTTTCAATGACAAATATTGCGCACTCCTCATGGGCATGATGTATGGTCACAGCACCACTACCCACATATACCCACTTCTTACACCGCTACATGCCTGATGTATGGTCACAGCACCACTACCCACATATACCCACTTCTTACACCGCTACATGCCTGATGTATGGTCACAGCATCACTACCCACATATACCCACTTCTTACACCGCTGTATGCCTGATGTATGGTCACAGCATCACTACCCACAATATACCCAGCTTCTTACACCGCTGTATGCCCGATGTATGGTCACAGCATCACTACCCACATATACCCACTTCTTACACCGCTACATGCCTGATGTATGGTCACAGCATCACTACCCACATATACCCACTTCTTACACGCTGTATGCCTGATGTATGGTCACAGCATCACACCCACATATACCCACTTCTTACACCGCTACATGCCTGATGTATGGTCACAGCATCACTACCCCCATATACCCACTTCTTACACCCCTGTATGCCTGATGTATGGTCACAGCATCACTACCCACATATACCCACTTCTTACACCGCTACATGCCTGAATGTATGGTCACAGCACACTACCCACATATACCCACTTATCTACCCGGGTGTATGCATGATGTATGGTCACAGACTCACTACCCACATATACCCACTTCTTACACCGCTACATGCCTGATGTATGGTCACAGCATCACTACCCACATATACCACTTTCTTACACCAGCTGTCTATGCCTGATGTATGGCCACAGCACCACTACCCACATATAACCACTTCTTACCACCGCTACATGCCTGATGTATGGTCACAGCATCACTACCCACATATACCCACTTCTTACACCGCTGTATGCATGATGTATGGTCACAGCATCACTACCCACATATACCCACTTCTTACACCGCTACATGCCTGATGTATGGTCACAGCATCACTACCCACATATACCCATTCTTACACCGCTGTATGCCTGATGTATGGTCACAGCATCACTACCACATATACCACTTCTTACACCGCTACATGCCTGATGTATGGTCACAGCATCACTACCCACATATACCCACTTCTTACACCGCTGTATGCATGATGTATGGTCACAGCATCACTACCCACATATACCCACTTCTTACACCGCTACATGCCTGATGTATGGTCACAGCATCACTACCCACATATACCCACTTCTTACACCGCTGTATGCCTGATGTATGGCCACAGCACCACTACCCACATATACCCACTTCTTACACCGCTACATGCCTGATGTATGGTCACAGCATCACTACCCACATATACCCACTTCTTACACCGCTGTATGCCTGATGTATGGCCACAGCACCACTACCCACATATACCCACTTCTTACACTGCTACATGCCTGATGTATGGCCACAGCACCACTACCCACATTATACCCACTTCTTACACCGCTACATGCCTGATGTATGGCCACAGCATCACTACCCACATTATACCCCCTTCTTACACTGCTACATGCCTGATGTATGGCCACAGACACTACCCACATATACCCACTTCTTACACCGCTACATGCCTGATGTATGGCCACAGCATCACTACCCACATATACCCACTTCTTACACTGCTACATGCCTGATGTATGGCCACAGCACCACTACCCACATATACCCACTTCTTACACCGCTACATGCCTGATGTATGGCCACAGCATCACTACCCACATATACCCACTTCTTACACCGCTACATGCCTGATGTATGGCCACAGCAGCACTACCCACATATACCCACTTCTTACACTGCTACATGCCTGATGCATGGTCACAGCATCACTACCCACATATACCCACTTCTTACACCGCTACATGCCTGATGTATGGTCACAGCACCACTACCCACATTTACCACTTCTTACACCGCTACATGCCTGATGTATGGTCACAGCACCATACCACATATACCCACTTCTTACACCGCTACATGCCTGATGTATGGCCACAGCAGCACTACCCACATATACCACTCTTACACGCTATATGCCTGATGTATGGTCACAGCATCACTACCACATATTACCCACTTCTTACACCGCTATATGCCTGATGTATGGTCACAGCACCACTACCCACATATACCCACTTCTTACACCGCTACATGCCTGATGTATGGTCACAGCACCACTACCCACATATACCCACTTCTTACACCGCTACATGCCTGATGTATGATCACAGCACCACTACCCACATATACCCACTTCTTACACCGCTACATGCCTGATGTATGATCACAGCATCACTACCACATATACCCACTTCTTACACCGCTATATGCCGATGTATGGTCACAGCATCACTACCCACATATACCCACTTCTTTACACCGCTACATGCCTGATGTATGGCCACAGCACCACTACCCACATATACCCACTTCTTACACCGCTACATGCCTGATGTATGGTCACAGCATCACTACCCACATATACCCACTTCTTACACCGCTATATGCCTGATGTATGGTCACAGCACCACTACCCACGTATACCCACTTCTTACACCGCTACATGCCTGATGTATGGCCACAGCAGCACTACCCACATATACCCACTTCTTACACTGCTACATGCCTGATGTATGGTCACAGCAGCACTACCCACATATATCCACTTCTTACACCGCTACATGCCTGATGTATGGTCACAGCACCACTACCCACATATACCCACTTCTTACACCGCTACATGCCTGATGTATGGTCACAGCACCACTACCCACATATACCCACTTCTTACACCGCTACATGCCTGATGTATGGTCACAGCACCACTACCCACATATACCCACTTCTTACACCGCTACATGCCTGATGTATGATCACAGCACCACTACCCACATATACCCACTTCTTACACCGCTACATGCCTGATGTATGATCACAGCATCACTACCCACATATACCCACTTCTTACACCGCTACATCTCTCCACATTTTGTGAATTTTAGGATCTGCTACTGGGTCTGACCTGCCACCACTAGTAGGAACCATACACATGTGAGCACACGTACCTTGTGCACAACTGCAGTGTTCATTACGTTGCCCACTATATGGCCACTTTATAATTGGGCCGATTCCTCCTTATGGAAATGAAAAGATAGAAAATCAATGATAACATAATAAGATAACAATTTTATTAATAATAATATAGAAATTGTATAGAATATAAAACAAACATGAAAATAATCCTATTTGAAGAGAAGAATGAAAAATTAAATATATAACCTGGAGTTTACCTGGAGAGGGTGTCGGGGGTTAGTGTCTAGGTGGCTCGGTCTGAGATCAGGCCTCATGGTGGGTCAGGGTCTGATCAACCAGGCTGTTACTGCTGGCCGCACGCAAACTGACGTACGAACTATAGCCTGGTTGGTCAGGTACTGACTTTAGGTGCCTGTCCAGTGCCTTCTTGAAGACAGCCAGGGGTCTATTGGTATTATAACCCCAGGAATTTAAGGGCCTGTTATCCTGGGTGTAAAGGGTGCAAAATAAACACATGAGAAAACTTTGACTTATATTATCCTTCACCAAGCATAAACAGAAGTATGTACACTATATACACTATGTACAGCAATAGATATTAGTGAATGCCATGGTAATTAAAGCAGAATTGATGCCACTAGAAAGCAGACCGTGCTTCAGCCAGCTCTTGAATGGAAATGACAAGGTTGAAAACGTGAGTGGTAACCACATCACCTTCACAATTGCCAGATCCACCTTCTCATTGGCTGAACCTAGATACTGATCTGACGATAGGGCCCCGATCGTCCGATCTTAAGCATCTGGTTCACTGGTTGGGGAGGTAGACTTTTAATGAGGGTGTGTACATGTACCGAATAAAGGCTACGTACTCTTTTCATGCCACAATTGATAATCACCCTTATGTATGCTAGGAGGCAGTTAAACAGTCTTGGGCCCCAGAGACTTACTGTGTTGTCTCCCAGTGTACTCGTGGCGCCCCTGCTTTTCATCGAGGGAATGTTGCATCTCCTGCCGAGTCTTTTGCTTTCATAAGGAGTGATTTTCGTGAGCAGGTTTGGTACCAATCCCTACAGGACCTTCAAGTGTATATTATCATGTATCTCTCTCGCCTGCATTCCAGGGAATACAGATCAAGGACCTTCGACCGTTCCCAGTAATTTAGATACTTTACCGTACTTATGTGTGCCATGAAAGTTCTTTGTACGTTCTCTACGTCTGCAGTGTCTCCAACCTATAAGGTGGCCGTTAGTGTACAGCAGTAATCCAGCCTAGAGAGAACATCATTGAAGAGAATCATCATGGGCTTGGCATTCCTAGTTTTGAAGAGTTGCTCAACTGTTTTCAGCTTCTTTATTTTTTTTTGGCTGATCAGGGCTTGATCAACCAGGCTGTTACTGCTGGCTGCACGCAATCCAACTTACAAACCACAATCCGGCTGGTCAGGTACCGACTTTAGGTGCTTGTCCAGTGCCTCCAGTATAATATGCAAATAGTGTTATTATTTTGGCGTCTTTCTTATTAATTTATATTACATAATCACTACATGAATATTCATGTTCGCTACCTGATAACTCGTGTTCGTTGCCTGATTATTTATGTTCATTTCATGACTGTTCGTGAAGCCAAAATTTAAATTTAAGAATAAATTTAACCAAAAATGAAAACTGGAAAAAAAAAACACTTTAATATTATGTATGTCATATATATAAATATATATTTCACCACCCTGAGACTTATTATACATGTTTCAGTCATGTCTTTTTTATTTTCAGCATTGCTGGCTTTCTCCTGCAGCATCATGAGCTGTCTGTAACACTGTCTACATAAACAACAGCAGCACCATCAGTAACATTATCTACTGAAGCAACAGCAGCACCATCAGTAACATTATCTACTGAAGCACCAGCAGCACCATCAGTAACATTATCTACTGAAGCACCAGCAGCACCATCAGTAACATTATCTACTGAAGCACCAGCAGCACCATCAGTAACATTATCTACTGAAGCACCAGCAGCACCATCAGTAACATTATCTACTGAAGCACCAGCAGCACCATCAGTAACATTATCTACTGAAGCACCAGCAGCACCATCAGTAACATTATTCTACTGAAGCACCAGCAGCACCATCAGTAACATTATCTACTGAAGCACCAGCAGCACCATCAGTAACATTATCTACTGAAGCACCAGCAGCACCATCAGTAACATTATCTACTGAAGCACCAGCAGCACCATCAGTAACATTATCTACTGAAGCACCAGCAGCACCATCAGTAACATTATCTACTGAAGCACCAGCAGCACCATCAGTAACATTATCTACTGAAGCAACAACAGCACCATCAGTAACATTATCTACTGAAGCAACAACAGCACCATCAGTAACATTATCTACTGAAGCACCAGCAGAACCATCAGTAACATTATTTGCAAAAACTTACTTCTAATGAGCCATGGCTTTAATATCTAAGGAATATAATCTCTTCAGGTTTATTAAAGCTTTGAATGAGTGTGGTAGAGGAGTGTTACATTACATATTCTGTTTGGGAACTCCAGATAAACCTGCTACTATGAAGCTGGATGATTACTTGAAAACCTTGAAACAAACATCATCTGCAAACTACTTAAAACTTTCAAGGAGTCAAAAAAGATTTAACAAAACACAAAAGAAACTGATTGAAAATAGTGCAGATGGAACCGGGTTTGATATTCCACTGTTGTGTCTCAGCATCAAATTAGCTGCTGAGAATGTTGCTCAGTTCGATGATCCAAAATGGATGACTCCCAGTGCAGAAATGGAGTACTACATCACCGCCATAAAGAACATGAGGAACGATGCTCTTCATGGTCCACTTGCAGTTCCTGATGAAGATTATAATAATAATATGAAAGAGTTTCGGGAGATGTTAACTGGGTGTCTTAAGACATCTGGAGAACGATATGGACAAGACGAGGCTGAGGTGAATGACAAGATCAAGCAGATAAATAATGACCTGGACTACATCATGGATGAGATTCTTGGAGAGGAAGATATAGTGAAGTATTGTAAAGATGATTTAAAACAAATTATCATTAATGACAGTCGTGATAAACTGAAGAATGTCTTAGAAAAAGTTACTTACATTAGCCCAGTGTCTTCGATCATCAATAACTTTCAAGTTAAAGTAGACAAAATTTTTGTCGATATTGAAGTTAAACAAGGAAAACGGGGAGGTAATAATGAACACATTGATTATGGAGATCTCCTCACACTTGTGAAGTCTGGCACACAACAACATGGTTCCTCTGCACGACCACAAATACTACTGCTGGAAGGTGTGGCAGGCAGTGGCAAGACCACTCTAGTGAAGCTAGTAACTGAGGAATGGATACAAGGTGGTCAAGGTAACATCAAGGGCTTAGATAATTACGATCTCTTACTGTGGGTACAGTGTAGGGACCCGACCATCAACTCCTTCCAGGATCTACTAGACCGACTAATACCAGATGTTTCAACAAAATTCAGAAACGTTTTGCATAAAATAATAAAGTTATGTAATATATTAATTTTGGTTGATGGTCTGGATGAATTCAATGATAACTCAAGAAAATTAGTCAGTAGTCTTTTATTCGAATTCCAGAACTCAGTTAACACAGCATATATGTGCACCTCAAGACCTGAAACAGTTGAAATGTTCAGCTTGACGATCCCTGAAGATTATAATGTAACAAATGCTGAACTACGAGGCGTAAATAATGAACATATGGAAACTTTCGTGCGTCGGACTCACCAGGAGATAACTAAGGTCACGAACAGTAACAGAGACACTAATAAACTGGTAAATAAAGTGATGAAGATTAAAGATCTTCATGAACACTTACGTCTTCCAATGAATTTAACATTTTTTGTTTACATCTGCGACCAGGAACCAGATGAGACGGAAATAACAACCATAACACAAACAGAACTCTATGATAAAATACATCATATGTGGCAAAGTAAGTTATTAGAGAGATTAGCAACCCGTTCAAAGCCCGACGTGTTCAATGAAAGTATCGTCATTAACAGTGTTCAGGAAATATTGAAGACAATATATGCAATATCACTTGAGAGTCTCTCACGTGACCAGTTGAGTCTTGAAGAAGAGACTGTAGAACAAATAATATCTACTTGTAACAAACATAATATACCTTATGATGAGATACTTTCTGCTTTCTTCAGTTTGAAGCCAATATCGACTTGGCAAGGCATCGAGGAGCGCTACTCTCCACCACACAAGGCAATCCAAGACTACTTCAGCGCTCTGCATATTGTGGTGACACTTAATTACCAGCTACAATCTTCAACACCCCCGGTCTCGTACACCCAGCAACCAACACCACCTGTGTCTTCCCAACCATCTGTGACAACTGTGTCACCATCACGAACTTCAAATGCTCCAGCACTAACTACACCAGCACAAATTTCACAAACTCCAACAACACAAGCATCATTTACATCATCACCCACATCAGCATCACCTACACCAGCATCACTTAATCCTGCGTCACCAACACAATCATCACATACACCAGGATCGCCTACACCAGCTTCACTTGCGCTATGTACACTAAAGGCTTCACCTGCCAGTATCAGGGAAGTGTTAGAAGAGAGCATCAAAACTACCAGACTAGATATGAAGAAATACCGTAATGTTCTGGTACATGTGGCGGGGCTGCTGAATCTAATAAGGAAGCAGGTGTCTGACTCTCATGCACGAGAGGTGGTTCATCTCCTGCGCGAGTCTGGCATAGAAGATAATGATGACTGGCTCGACCTCCTTGAGAGCAATAAGGTTTCTCCAGAAACCATCAAAGAAATAGTTTCTTTCTTCAGTACTGAAGAAACAATGTATGTACGTGATGAACATGTGAGAAGTTACTCGGCTGTGTTACCATACCTTAGGTCTTGCGAAGTGAATATTGAGATCTACGGTGACCCTGATGACTTACCCTGCCTTCCTGACGTATTGGCTGCCCTCACCAACCATCACTGCACACAGCTAAAACTGTGGGAGCAATGGAGTGGTGCTGCTGAGACAACCACCACTTCTGACAGCCTCCTACAACATGTCCATTCTCTGTGAGTGTTTAGTATTGTTGATATTAATGATATTACTGGATAAGATAACAAGAGCTTTGCCTGAACGTTATTGTTCAAGTTAATGATGCTGCTGTTTATAACAGCGTTTTCTATATTTTAACATTACTTTCCGTGATAACATTGTTTTAGGTTATGGCGTGAGCCGAGTAAGTTACGTTGATTCAGTTGTGATGAATGGTTTGAAAAACCGACAATTTGAAGATTGAGACACTTATGCAGCATATGGGAATCTTTATTCAGGAAACGTTTCGCCACACAGTGGCTTCATCAGTCCATTACAAAGAGGAAGGCGTAAGGAGAGGAGGAGTATGAGGTAATCAGTCCCTCAGTCTGGAGTCGATGTGTTCAGTCCATTAATCTTGATTCAGTGTTCATCACACACCCACTGGCATGTATAGCGTCCTCAGAAAAGGACTCCATAGTATGTACATCTATTTTCTTTAATATAATAATATATTGCTGATGTTTTTGTTATTAGCTAAAAAAACAAAAAAAAAAAAAAAGAGATTTCTTGCTTTATATTATTATTTGCCATATTTAGCTTATGTCTGCAGGTAGGATATAACAACTACAGCTGTCACTGTCCTCGCTGAATGACTGGCTGCCAACGCTGAAAACTACTTGCTCGCTTGTTTCATTGTTGGCAAGAGTGTTAAGCTAACATGAGTCACCTGACATTGCATCCGGAGGGGAACCTGCCTCTCTTTTACAGTTCCTTGCAGAGGAAACACCTACTCTCAGCTCTGTCTGGGATAACACTGCTCTCAACACGTGCTATTTAGACTCTCTTGGTAGTGAATGTTTCCGTTGGTGACATCTCGTAACTCTGAAATTTTGCTCACAGAGTTTTATTTAGATTTAGTGATATTTTACATTTCAGAGGATGCTTCCTGACACACTCTATTTCTCTGGTCCCGAGTTCAACTCTTGACCTACACTGTTCCTGCATCTACACACTGTCGAAGTCAGGGATTGGGAATTGCTGAACTGAGTTTCAGTAATAAGGGAGTTTTTTGCCTTTTGTAGAGGACTTCCTGATGGTCCCCAGTTAGGATCTTTTCTGATCTTGTTCCTTGCCTTACACTGTGGTGTTCACGGTTGCTTCAAGCATTATTGCTGTTCGTCGAGTTGGTAGTCCTGTGTTCTAGCAAGTTGTTTTTATTACCTCTATGCTTCAGAAGTTAGCTTATCCAGAGACATGTTTTTGTCACTCTCATTCTAAACCAATTCTGAGCACATACCGAGCACACACACCTATGTTACTTAAGTACTTTTTAGTATATTTCATCACGGTAAATTACCGAATGGTGCTCTTTCTTAAGAGTATTATAGAGCACAGTATCTAAAGTGGGAATTGCATCATTTATATTCTATGTACAGAATGAGTGTAATAAATGTCTTGACTACTCCAGAAGCTCGTGCTAGTCTCCGCTTCCCGCTCAATTCCTGGCTCCTAGTGGTACAGACCATATTTCTGAAATCCTGCCTGGCATCCCTCCCCCTCCCCTCCAGTCTCAGAAACAAAGGGTGGAACTGGTTCATCTCCTGGTCAGTCTCTTTTGTTGGTTCTTGAATTGGCCAAAATTACGCCTGAGGAAACTATGGTAGAGTGTGCCTTTGCAAAGGTTGATCATGGTAGAGAGAATTAGAGGAGACAACAGCGATGTTCTCGTAATAATACTTTTTATATTCAGAAGTCGGTGTCCTCGGTACCTCGGTTTTCTGAGTCAGAACCTAAACAGTTTTCCAGAACGTTGAAAAACCAGGCTCGAGCTCTGCAATAGCCATTCAAGCACTGGGAAGCACATGTAATACCTATAGATCAATAAGCCTTGCCTCCATAGTGGGAAAATTTATGCAATCAATAATTGCCGAAACAATTCGTAGCCATCTTGACAGGCACAGATTGATTAATGAATCTCAACACGGTTTTACAAAGGGGCGTTCATGTCTTATGAATTTACTAATTTTTTTCACTAAGGTGTTTGAGGAGGTAGATCATGGTAATGAATATGATATTGTGTATGTGGACTTCAGTAAGGCTTTCGATAGAGTTCCACATCAGAGGCTATTCAGGAAAATTAAGGCACACGGAATAGGAGGAGAAATATTTTCCTGGGTAGAGGCATGGCTGACAAATAGGCAGCAGAGAGTTTGCATAAATGGGGAGAAATCAGAATGGGGGCACGTCACAAGCGGTGTTCCACAGGGGTCAGTGTTGGGCCCCTTGTTGTTCACAATTTACATAAACGATATAGATGAGGGAATAAATAGCGACATAAGCAAATTTGCTGATGACACCAAAATAGGCCGTCCAATTCATTCTAATGAGGACACTAGAGCACTCCTGGATGATTTGAATAGACTGATGCAATGGTCGGACAAGTGGCAGATGCAGTTTAATATAGACAAATGCAAAGTTCTAAATGTTGGACAGTTAAATAACCATGCAACATATAAACTAAATAATGTAGATCTTAATACTACTGATTGCAAAAAGGATTTAGGAGTTCTGGTTAGCAGTAATCTAAAACCAAGACAACAGTGCATTAGTGTTCGCAATAAAGCTAACAGAATTCTTGGCTTCATATCTAGAAGTATAAATAAAAGAAGTCCTCAGGTTGTTCTTCAACTCTATATATCCTTGGTTAGGCCTCATTTAGACTATGCTGCTCAGTTCTGGTCACCGTATTACAGAATGGATATAAATGGTCTGGAAAACGTAAAGAGGAGGATGACAAAGATGATCCCATGCATCAGAAATCTTCCCTATGAGGATAGACTGAGGGCTCTGAATATACACTCTCTCGAGAGGTGTAGAATTAGGGGGGATATGATCGAGGTGTATAAATGGAAAACAGGAATAAATAAAGGGGCTGTAAATAGTGTGCTGAAAATTTCCCGCCAAGACAGGACTCGCAGCAATGGTTTCAAGTTGGAAAAATTCAGATTCAGGAAGGATATAGGAAAGCACTGGTTTGGTAATAGAGTTGTGGATGAGTGGAACAAACTCCCGAGTACAGTTATTCAGGCTAAAACGTTGTGTAGTTTTAAAAATAGGTGGGTGTGGATGGGTGTGGGTTGGACCTGACTAGCTTGTGCTGCTGGGTCTGGTGCCGTGCTCCTTCCTTGAGTGAAGGTGACCAGACTGGGTGGGTCATTGGGCTAATCCGGGGGGGGGGGACATGGACCTGCTCCACATGGGTCAGTAGGCCTGTTGCAGTGTTCCTTCTTTCTTATGTTCTTATGTTCTTACGTTCACACGGCGTTGTATGGTAAGAAACAAATTCACTTCTGGTTTACATGATGAAGGCTTCTCTAATTACAACGGTGTGATGGCTGCTGTGCTAGGCGCATATAACTGTATACCTGATAAATACTGACGAGAGTTTAAGTTGAACAGGCGTCAACGTGGGTAGTATTGTGTAGACTTTGTTAGGCTCTAGACCAAGACTTATTCCAAGTGGTATAAGGCAGCAGTCGTCTCTAAATTTAGCGAGTTGTTGCAGCTTTTTCTCGTCTACAATTTTGTCGAGCCTATTTATTAGGAGGTGAGGATCTTCTTAGAAGACCATTAACTCTCACCTTCCATAGAAGCCGTTAAATAGCAGACACTCTGAGAGGTCCATTAAAGTTTCTTCCCACCAACATTGTACAGAAATAAGCCATCAAGGGAAAGACATCTGTTGGTGGTCAGAGGACAAAAGCCGGGAGTGTGTCACGACACACCTTAACACCAGACTGTCTCAGACTCTGAAGATAGTTAATAACTAAAAAGGCACAATACCGTGACTGGAATGATACACAAATAACCCGCACATAAAAGAGAGACGCTTACGACGACGTTTCGGTCCGACTTGGACCATTTACAAAGTCACACTAACCAGAGAACGAACGAACGAACGAACGAAAGTTCAGGTAAGATCCCAAATGGGATGAGCGGGGAAGACGGGACAGACGAAGAACAGTGCTGGAGAGGAGTGTTCTTAGTCGTAGAAATAGAGCCAGGGCTTAACCCAGCAGCGAGGCGATCGTGGGACAGATATTGAGAAGAGAAATTCAGGCTCTTCTGTTGGGACTCCGGTGGGGCGAGCGGGAAGGAAGGGACATGCGACGTTTAGAGCTAGAGAGGAGTGTAGAACTGAGCCATGTCTTAACCCAAAGGGTAAGGCGAATGTGGATCAGAGAATGGTACCTGTCATAGAAGGTACCTCTCGGAGAATCCAAGGTTATTTGTGAATAGGGTTAGGAGCAGGATCATGCAAGGAGTAGAAAAGGTTGTGTTGGTTTGTGGGTCTGCGAATGTCTTCGTCAAGGAGAGAGGTCCAGTAGTCATATCGTGTCACGAGTTTGTCAATCTGTCTGTCACTGAGCGTCTTCCAGTACAGATTCAGCGCAGGGATGTCTAACTGGGCATGTAGAGACTCGCATGTGGCGAAGTCCTCCCATCGAACATCAAGCACCCAGCGCAGCGCCTTGTTCTGACACGCTGCGTTTAAGTAAGTTTGTTTTTGCTGCAAGAGAGAGGGCTAGAGGAGAGTAAGTTATCAGAGGACGTATAATGGATTTGTAGAGGTGTAGTTTGGTGCGTTGAGAGGCATGTTTCAGCTTGTAGAGGCCCGCATGGGCCTTACTAGCTATTGCATGCCTTGAGTGAATGTGTCCGTGTAAGCGTAGAAGGTAGTCAAGATTAACGCCAAGGACAGTGACAGATTGTGTCAGGGGATGTAAGTGCGGGTGTCAGCTGTTCTGAGCTCGACAGGTAATGGAGGATCGCGTTTTCTGTAGTTAAAATATGTAATGCTGGATTTAGCTGCATTGGTTTTGATCCTCCATTTTTGTTCCCAGATGGCTATCCTCGCGTCGACCTCATTTTGAGTTTTGTGTGTGAGTGTATCTATATTGGCATTTGATGTGATAAGTGTGTAATGTCGTTTGCATAGGATGTGTGATGGAGTTTTGGTATACAGTGTTGGAAT